AAAAAATTGATATTTAAAAATATGGTAAATATGTAAAATGCGCAATAGAAGTTTTTCATGTTTTTTTTTTTTTTTTTTTTTTTTTTTTTTTTTTCAAAAGTGCGATAATCGCTTTTTTTAATATTATTACATATTAAACCTGACTGCCGATCTGGTATTAGGTATGTACTGTACGTACTATACATACGTACGTATGCATACGCATGTACGTACCTGGTACGTATTTAATATAATCAGGTTATTTAAATTAATATCCGGTAAATTGGATCAATCCTATTTGGTTGCACGATGCACGTCAACGCACCGAGTATATATATACATGTCAAATCTCCAAATCCCGTGTGCAAACAAATGACAGTTTGTCACTTTAAACCGTTTGATGTCTGGTGAGCTCTATAATAGATTCTCTATAACAGATTTACATGGGTATCTAAAAGTTAGTTTTTAGTCTTAATTTTCTACACCTAAAATAACGTTCAAGTTAGATTGTCTGCAAAAAAAAATACTTTAGCATTATAATAATACCGCTTTGATCCAAAGCCAAAAACTTTTTTTAACAGCGCCCTTTTTTTTTAATATAAAGAATCGTCGTACAAAAATGTTTTTAAATGCATATGGCGACTAATATTACAAAACAATGAAAACAGGTTGCACAATGCCAATAACAATATAGATGATTTTATATTGCTATAAATGTTTTAATAAATTCGAATTCGTGATAGGCAAGCAGGAAGTGTCTTGCATGGCATATTCGTGAGAAATTTTTAAGATAAACTATTATAAGTTATTCACCGAACAATGTAAAGATGGAAATGATTGTTCTTTTGATTGTTAACCAGAAAATTTTTTTAATTTTTTTACATACAGTTAATAAGTCAATAAAGAAAAAAAAAAAATGCTTATTGACGTGTATCAACATCCTGCATGAAAGTGCAAAATTAAAATCTCGTTTTTTAAGTATTAATACACATCAATCTGCATCATTTCGGCATATAAAGTCACATGTGCCACAGGTAACTACAGAGGTGAAATTAGCAAATAATTTCAAAGTTTTCAATTGTTTTAATATTTTAATATTTCGATATGTCCTATCAATTTCCATAGCATATGTGCGTACTACAATTTATCGAAAAAGGTTAGTCCTTGTAAAATATTTCCTACTAAAGGTTTTGATGAGAAAAGTAAACAAATAAATAAATGCTTTTATATATATACTTAAAATTATTCATTGTAGGGATCCGCTAACAGTTTGCGTATTTGATCGTCACATGTTAGTTATTTTAAAAAAATTTCATTTCTTTGAAATTAGGTTTATATTATTATATTATTTTAACTCGACACATGTCAATTTCAAAGTTGACAGGGAATGACACTCCATTTTGGCAGATTATCAAACAAGGAAGGTGGAGTGATTTAATGAACAGATTATTGGTACATTCTGGCATTTTGGTACTCCGTTGGATTTCGTTTGCGCTAGTCCATTGATCCATTGCTTCATTGTTAATATTTATTACAGTATATATATATATATATCAGTATATATATATATATATATATAGTATATTATTGTTATAAAACATAGATTTTAGTTAGTTAACCTAACAAATACAGTATATAATACTGTAATAGAAAAAAAAATTTTTTTGCATATAAGGAAAAAAAGTGTTTCATTACTCCATCGCTTCGTTTCATAGTGAATGTTTACACTAGTTCAGTAGTTATGTGTGACGTTACAATGAAATGACAAAGATTCGCAAACAATCGTTCCCGTATCAAGATAATTGATTACCTTGTTACTTTTACCTTTCGCAATGTACACGTGAGGTATTAAAATTATTTTGCAGATAAATAATTAGGATGTATCACAATGTGACTTTCAATAAGTCCTAAATTGTTTTTTTGATCTGCAAAATTTGTAAAATTAGGTTCAACGCGCACGCCAAATTTTACTTTTCTGTATATATATACTTTTTATTTGATGTATATATATTTAGGCATATTTTACTGACTAATAAGGATAGCATTCTAACAAGTCACTATACTGGATAATTCGTGCTAGAGTTAATTAGTCTTAATCGGTTCCAAGAATATTTTTTCCCAAGATGCTAATCTAACTTTTATTAAAAAATTGCATTTCATTTTAAAAAATTCCTTTTATCTGATTATCAATGCTAATCAACTGAAAATATCTGATCATCTTTATTATTGTATATATATAATTATAATTTGACGAAACTATTAACTTATTCGATCAAATGATTACTATAAAAAAAAATTGCTGTCTTTGAATTAGAGCTATGTTAGGGTTAGGTGAGCTAATAGAGAAAACATTTACCTAACTTAAAATTTGTCATAAACGACTTTTTAAAAAAAGCGCGATAGTTTTATAGTTTCAATTTTCACGTTACATCTAATATTGTATCCTTATTGGATCAGAATGTATGCGCAGTGTTGAATAATAAACTAGCCAATGTTTTACTTTTCAGTACCCACATGCTGTAGAAATTTTTAAAGAAAAGCTAATTTAGATATATATATACTATATATATATATATACTATATATATATATGTAGTTGTATACGTAGTCTAACTTTCGTTAAGAACTATTAGCTGAAACTTAGTTGACAGAGATTGTTTCTACTCGAGACACGGATAGATTTTACCTGACTTAAATATTAGAGGCATAGATTACATTACAGTTTTTAATTCTGGTTGCCATCCTTGGGTTCAATTTTGTTCTAGAGTGTGGAATTGGTATTTAAAACAATTGTTCCAATTAAAATTTTATCTCAAGAATTTTTTTTTATTTACTAATCCAAATTTGTGAATTCTAAAATTTTTTAGCTACGGGTGTTGGAACGAATCCAAATATTCAATTTACATTGTTGTCAAAAATGAAATGAGTCAGATTTAATACGTGCTATGCTCTTTTAATCGTGCTGTCTGTTTTCACTATAGCTGGCGCAAAAAGTAAAAATGCAAAATTAATTCTTGCAAATGTAGACCTTCTAATTTGGTGTGTGGAGGTGAGTGTCATTCGCATAGTATTAAATGCAAAAATAGTGAATTTATATAGTTATAATAGTTTTTAGCTATAAAATTACATATTTATTATCTTTAAAATTCTATTCCCACTCACTCATGTTGTTTTGGATTCAAAATCCACTGAATCCACATACAACATATATACCGATTTAATAAATTTTAAATTGGTATAAGTAAAATAAAGGATTTTGGTTTAATATTGAATAAAGATACTGCATCAGTTTTTACTGATGCTCGAAAATCTAGGGTTTATGACCAAAAACTCATCGATTTGAACCTTTAATTCTGTTCATGATGCTAATTCTTAAACTTAGCCTATTATAATCACAGACTTGATTAGTTATATACTGTATAAGAGTTAATTGGATTTTTTTTTTTTCTCTAAAAATGCAGTATCAACAACAGTCATGGGGACAAGAATACATAATAACGGTTTATAACAACAGAAAGGATAGCTTAATAGCAATTAGTAATTAACTTGAATAATAATAGTTATGAAAGTTTTTTTTTAATATAAATATAATATATAAAAAAAGTTGTATTTATAACACCATGTTATATACAGTAAAAACCTTGCAAGAACTGAAATTGGGACTTTATAGAACCTTATATTTAATATATATTATATTATATAAAAACCTTTTATTTATCTTAAAGTTGCATCCTAACACCTAACTCTAATTCAGACTATATAGGTGTTATATAACATGAGTATTATAAATATAATATTTCTTTTAGCAATTATTTTATTAAATTTAATAAATTTTTTATTTTAATTCTATATAATTTTAAAATTAGAATAAAAAATTTTACTAAAAATAATTTTTTTTTTTTATTAGCTTAACTCTAAATATTAAATTAACCTATCATAGGCAATATGCTAAATATGAGAGCTTTGATGGTTTAATTTAAACTCTTTTCTAGAAACACATTCTGGGTGAAGATTGAACAAACAAGAATTGTAGACATACTATATAGACAAAGAAATATTTCAATCAGACAAGCCTTAATTAGCTTTTTAGTATGTAGTAAAGCCTGGCCCTTAGTAAAAACTTTACTTTCTTGTATGAAGAAAAGCAAATGAGAGGATTTTCACTATACAAATTGGCCTTGGAGTCTTGAAAACCTCTCTCTGGAAGAAATTAAAAAAGACAAAATTATAATTAAAAAGATAACTAAACTATTCAGAGAAGATCTAATATCTAGTAAGATTGATTATTCATTGTTTCAAATTTAGTACCAAACTAGATACTTTTTAAAGAGGTTGATAACAAAAAAAGTGACATCTTCTAGCATCTCGCACATAAAGCCTTACTACTAGGATACAGACTTCAATACATTTATACTTAGGAATCAGACACTTGTTTATAATATAAAGATAATCAGTAAATAATTAAACACTTTGCAACAGACTATAGAATTAGCAAAAAAATTTAAGTAAAAGCCTACAAACTTATTAATATAAAACAAAAATCTATAGTACAAAACTTTGTAAAGCATAGAGGTGTGACGACTTAGTGTAGTGGTTTAGCTATCACCCTCTCCAAGTGGCAGGTTTAGAGTTCAAATCCCACTGGCAACGATATTTGAAAAATAGGCTTGCATTCAGTTGATGGCTATGCATATCGGTTAGATCTAATCTGTAACTTCGGTCACACTATCTAGTAATGGGAGCAATGGTACAATAAATCTGAGGAACTGACAAAACTGAAAACCTATTTGAGAAGTCCCAAATTGGGAGTAGCAGAGATCTTCAATAGTATCACAAGAAGGCTGAATTCGAACTGGGGCCCAAGATTGGAGAACCGAGTGACTAGGTCTGCTGGCAGAAGACACACTAGCTGAACCGCCAGATGTCGCACTGGAGAAAAAGGACATACGCTCTAAAAGTATGGACCAAGGAGAGGGCGTCTTTTAGACATCTAAAGCCTGGGCAGACCAACCCTTCCGGGTTGCTAGCTGGAAGTAAGGGAGGGACCAATAAAGAATCCAGGTAAGAAGACGGCTAGAATGCAGGTACCGAGGTTGTTGTGAACCCAATAAGGGCAGAAGATATGTGGGGTAACACCCTAGTACTAACTTAGGTTTAAAGGTGTAATATCTCTGAAACCTAATCTGGAAACATAGAAGGAATTAGGAGGGTATCCGACTGTGCCTGCCTTGGGGTAGTGCTACCTTGTGAAAATCCTGGGGTACTATCGTACAAACAAGATAAACTGGCTGGAAAATATCAATCTGGGTGACTTTAAATGTAGTAGCACGAAATATGCTAGGCTTAAATTCGTAGGGGTGTACAGGATGGGGGGTCAGAGAGTTTAAATAGATAGCTTCCTAGTTAGGCTATAGATATGGCAGCTAGTGTAGAACCTTCAGACAGACTATTTAAATAGATAACTAAAAGTTGTACGTGTGGCTAGTTGTACTCTCACTACTCAATAATGTATACTAAAGGTTCTTTGTAACTCACTTAATAAAGAATTTGCTGATAGCGTAGCATTTCAGATACTATAAAATAATAATAATAATAATAATAATAATAATTTTCTTAATAATAATAAAATAAATAATGCTAAACTATTTTAGAATACCTAATAAATTTTTGAATATAAAAATATTTATTTGTATAATTTTTTAAAAATTTTAATCTATTTTATAAACCATACTATTTTCAGTACAAAACTGTAAATTCAATCTATTAACAATAATTACTATTATTAATTTAAATCATTAATTGTTAAATTTCGATAATCAACTCTTATTGATTATTCTTGATAAATTTTCTATTAATAGTAACGATTAGATAATCAATTTAAATCGATTAGATAATACCTAATTGATTACTGTCAATAAAAAAATTTATCAAAAACAATTTTAAAGTTGGCTATTTGAAATCTAACAGTCATTGATTTAAATCAATTATCTAATCGATTACTATCAATAAAAGATTTATCAAGAACAATCGATAAAAGTTAACTATTGAAATTTTAATAGTAATTATCATTAATAATCACCCATACTAGTAACTATCGATAAGAATTATTGATAGTTATCAAATATTTGATAGTAATTACTACTTATCTATATTCAAAATTTCCTAATAACAGCATATATATTCATATATAATATATTATATATTTTTGAATATTATTATAAACTAAGTTTAAAGCTAAATTTTAAATTATTCAAAAATTGTATTATTATTATAGCTGAACTATATAATACATAATTTTCTATAAGATTATACTATCTTAGTATAAAGAACTTTTATTTATTTATTTATTTTTTTTCCTTTGATAACCACGTACTAAAATTTTATTAAGGTTTGACATTCAATACAAGATTAAAATACTTAATGTTTGATTAGACTAAAAGCTAGCTATCTCTTAAAGATATCCAACATTGGTTATCGCACTGATGATTGCCACTATACCCCACATATGGTGCGCCGCATTTAAAGATATAATATAGCTTGGGCTCAGCTCCCAACTTGTCAAGACTTCACTTTCTCTTCAATTCTTCCTTCTTCTCAAAAAGTATGAGACAAAAAAGGGAAAAGTTTAAACAAAGAACTTACGAAAATGAGCAAAAAAAAAAAAACCAAAAACCAAGAAAAAAGAAAAACAGATTGCAAAAAAGAAAAAACATAAAAAGAAATCTAAAATCCTAAAGGCACTATTATAACCCATGCATGACTGGTAAAAATTGTATAACAAGTGCAATGCTTGTATATCTTTCTTGTAAGGCTTCGCCTTAATGTTAAAGTTACTTTCTGATCTTCTCACCAACTCCGAATCGCTTCGTTGCCCGTCCTAATTCGTATCTCGAGCCAGATACTGCCATCGTCTGAGGATTACACTTACCCTAATCCAAGAAGGACCCATATCTCAAGCCACCTACTGCTATAATTAGAGTTCCCAGGCTAAGTCCCGTGAAGTAGCACCATATCCATCCATAAACAAACACATGGTTGCATTTCGCTAGTCCGTCCAATTTGGAATATAAACAATGTCGATCTTTTGGAGGGGGTAAGCCAAATTCCCATATTTTATCAAAATTTTTTGAAAGACCGACAAGAAGACGAAAAAAAGTAAAAGAGAAACCACTTAACCAAATAAAAAAAAGCGGCTTGAGAAAAATCTATTCTTTACTGTTCCCTAGTTGTTTCGCAACCGATAGCTTTGTCGACGATAGGCTTGGACTTCTATCACCTCCACCTATCCACCAAAATTTCATATACAAAGGCACTATCAACTGCTAGTTATCTTGTATACTGATGCTTTTGGCTTGCATATCGAATATATAAAAGAGTCCCCGACAGGTAGAGAAGGTTAACCTTTATAAAAACTGCCTTGTTAATTCACCTCACTACAGGTTATTACTACTCTCCAGTATTAAAAAGGCTTTTCTTTTTGTTAGGAAACTCAGTTCAAGTGATCATCAGAAAGAGTTCGTTGATTATTTGAAAAAAGAACTTTTATATCTCTTATATTAAAATTATATTAATACTATACTATATACTATTATTATTATAAATATTTATTAAACATATTCTACAAATATGTATAAAATATAACACATAATGTCATATATAAAACTAATAAAATTTTAAAATCTAATTGCAAATTGAATCTAATTCAGCTTACCTAGCTCAAATAATTAATTGAATCTCAATACTAACTAGGCTAATTTGATTCTATTCTAAAATTTAATAAGTATTAGCCAATTGGTAGTATTAAATTTTTATTTGATATATATCAATATTAGAATAGCAGTAATTGATTTGTTGTTTATGTGATTGGTAAAAAAAGTTATTAGTTAAAGGGTGAGTAATTAGTTAAATGCAAGTTCTATTAAAATAATTCAAAATTAACTTATTTTGAAATACCATATTTCTTCAAAAATAAGCACCCCTCAGAGCAATTTTTATAGCCAAAATTCTTGTGATCTAGTAATTGAATTTGTATAATTTTGGTACCATCTGAATTATTTTGACAAGTCAATTCGAATAGTACCAAAATTATGCAGATCTATTCACTAGATCGTGAGAATTTTGGCTATAAAAATTGCTTCGAGGAGGTGCTTATTTTGAAGAAATACAGTAAATAGAAGTTTAAAGAGGTTTTATTTCTGTTTAAAGTTTTAAAATTAAAAAATAATATAGGCATTTTTCCGAGATAAAATAAGTAACCTTAATTTCTTTTTCAAAAATATCAATTATATTTTTATAAGAACTATGAGAATAACTTCTATTAGTACTTCTAAAACATTATTTATCTTTATTGTCAATTAGATATACAGTATGAAGCATTTTAAAATATATATGAAAGATATAATATTCAAAAGAAAATTTACAATTATAAAAGGTATTAATAATTATTATATAAATAAGCTTACAAATCAAAACAAATAAAGTTTATAAATCACATCACTAATTTAATTTGAAATAAGAAACCCTGGGCATTAGATTTGGATTACCCATGATGATTTAGAATACTTTCTAGCAAAATATATAATAATTAATTGTAACTTTAGCAAAAAAATTATAAGTTAAAGAACCAATATTTTATGATCAAAAGAAGGTTCAATAAAAAAAATTAGCTCAGATGTGACACAAAATGATCCTGCTAGAATAAATAAAGAATAGTTCAATTGAAATAAATGTATTGAATATAACAAAATGAGGAATAAAATTGAACCTATTTCAACATACCAAGTGACTCGGCTGGAATAATAAACCAAACCTAATTCAACATACTAAAAAAACACACCCAGGATAATCAAATTGAACCTTGACGGTCATGAAATAACTCTGTTAGAATAATTCAACAAAATTAACTGGAATAAGTGTATTGAACATAACAAAAATAAGAAATAAAATTAAACCTATTTCAACATCCCAAGTGATACAGCTGGAATAATCAAATTATAGCTGTTTTCATAAATTCCGGAACAACTAAAAAGATTGCTTATGACCGAATCAATAAGTTACCAAATTAGGATCAATAAGTAACCAACTTAGCTGAACTCATAAACTTATTGACTCAGTCATTGGCAATTTTTTTAGTTATTCCAGAATTTAGTGGAAGTTTATCACTGCAAATTGGAATATATGAAAACATCTGTAAATCTAATTCAATGTACCAAGTGAATAGGCTGAAATAAT